GACTGGGAGACAATCTCTACCTTGTCCAAACGCACATCGCCGGACCTCAGAATTATATATATATATATGGTGATGCCACTAGATGCAAACAATCCTACGGAGACGTCAACGACTGAACATGCAGTCGGGGATCGAACCCCGGACCACAGGCATGGTTGGCGAGCATTCTACTGCTGTGTCACCTACGCCATTGGCCTTTTTTTATTACAGCTTGATGCCACACTGTATTTTCAGTACAAGTATGGAATTTTCAGCATGGATATCGGTAGCCCAAATTTTGCAGGCCGACCATAGATATCGAGGGTGCATCGGCAGAGGATGGAACCCGGGACCATGTGCATAGTCGGCGAGAGTCCTAACCACTGTGCCACCAACGCACAAGTTAACATACAGAAAGTAATGCCAATTTTTGTACTTACCTTCGTCTTTTAACAAGCAACACTCATATCTGATTCTACTACACTTTATGCAGTTCAGCACAACTCTTTTTTCTACCCCCTTTTTCTAAACTATAATTTCAGAACGACTATTCATAGTACTCAACCCACTCTATAGGTTGAACAACTAACCAAAGATTATTATCTGAGATCTAGTCCGGGAATTCTCTGCAATGTCATCCAGGCCGTATGTGTAATATATTGTGTGTCATTGTGTCATTTTCATGCATACAGTATATTCACACAATTTGTGTCATTCAATACATATATTGATCCTTTTTCTTCACTTTAAAGGTTATGCATAATATATATATATATATATATATTTTACAGTTTGTTTATCATATTTAACCTGCATACACATATACATATGAATTGTGTAATGAATGCAAATCATTCACTATGATTTTTAAATCATTAGACAATATATATACATATTTTAACTGTGTAATCAATCTATGTAACTGTTATGTTTTACTACTACTGAAATAACCATACAAATAAAATGTTTTAAAAAGTAGATGTTTGTACACATACACACGCACACACATGCCAGTCGAACAAACAGAAGTGTTATGCCATAATCACACATATTTATCTCACTACAAAAGTAAGTAAGGCTTGTACTAAATCTCTCGCACAACTTGTATCACTTAAAATTTCCAGTCTGCAAAAGCAAAGTTATCTGACCACCCAGCCAATGTTGTCCTCATACTGAACTTGGTGAACACACAAACCATCAGTCAAAACTTTCCACTAGAAATTTAAGCAACTTCATCTTGTCGCTAGTGAGCAATTGACTTATTTTCAGGCTTTGATTCGCAGAGATTTGGGTGGTTTCAAGATTGATAATGAATTGACTTTATCTATCCCAAGCAAAATACTAAGCCGCATCATCCTGGAGCGATTCAAACACGCCAGGCTGGATGAAAAACTTCGACCGGAACAGGCTGTCAGTAGCGTTGTATATCGCGCGAATGGTCAGAAGTTTGAATTAACAGGTCACCGGATGCCATCCCAGTGGGTTGAATGGTATGCGAGCTCACCTTGTGACCTGATGAAGAGTTGCAAACAAGGACGAAACAGTCCTCCAGTACTCCATAATATTTTTCTAGCTGAAGTCAGTTCATGATCAATCTTGAAATCAATAAAATCCTTGCAAGTCAAAACTTGAAAAGCAATCTAACTTGGTTTGTCTAATAATTTCGTGGTCGAGCAACCACATACATAAAGTATTCTCTAAATTAAAATTCAATATGTCCGGTCAATATGCAGTGTAGTGAATAAGCACAGAACTGACAGTTACAATTTTTTTTGTAAAACACATCAATAAATAACCTGTCGCAAATACTTATTTTCTAGCTATACACTGGAAGTATTTATAACGTTAAATTTAGCGCAATATGATTATAGTCAATGTGTGATGCAAGTGTGATTAGAAATCCGTATCCACTTCAGTGAACCATTTCAGCACAAATATGATTTCAAATCATTCAACTCACCTTGTGGACAGACGCACACACACACACATAACAGACGCATATGCATGATACATGCATAGTTAGGTTTAAATACTGTTTATACGAGTTTGACCACGGATTGATATCAGTTAGAGAACCATTGAAAACCAGCCACAGGGAGTACTGGACAGCTGTTTCATCCTAGTTTGGGAGTCATCGGCAGTACGCACCCACAGCCGATGTCCGAACCCAGGACCTTCCGGTTACAAGGCAAGCTCATATACCATTCCGCCACTGGGACCCGATTCAACTGCCATTCTATGGATTCTAACTCCTAACAATTCGTGATTTGGTGCAACCACCAACCAATGTTATCGGTGGGAAATCCATCCTCACACTTGACTACTGGTTGAACCTCAGTGGTCACGACTTCTCGCTAGAACTCCAGGAAACTCTGTCTTGTAGCAAGTCACTAGCGAGCGCCAATACTGTCTCTCATTGGCAAAGAAAATGGATTTTTCGTATTTTAGATTACGTAAGACTAACTGACCAAGTTTCTCAATTTATCTATATTTCATATGTTTTATTACCATGACTGATATCAATATAATCTGAATAAGGCATTCAGAAGACAAATTTCCCGAGATGATGATATCATTTCGTAGTTTCTTTACAATCGCTTTACAACTACCATGGATTAATCACAGACATCCTAAACTATGTGTACAAAAAACGACAAAATAGACTTCAACCTTCGCCAACCATGGACTGACTACTTGACCTATTTAAATATGATTGGTCATTAGCATTGCATTTGTCTTCGAAATGCCTTATTCAAAATTTATTAAAGGGACTAATTGTTTTAATTAATGTAACTGACCCCTTTTTTTAAAATGACATTCCCATGACCTTTCAGAACACTCCTATTTAACCAACTATACAACTATATGATGAGAAGTTACGAAAAGAATTTGCTTTACTGACCTGTGTGTCTTTTTTTTTTAAATTCAGAATTATTTGATCGATATTTATTATGCAAAAGCAAAATATGTTATGATGAAATGACTATCGATTAGTCATCGATATAGTCGTCTAGGTTCAGAAAAGTGAACAGTGCTCATCATTCAAGAAGAAATCTTATCACCACTAAACTGTTCTATTAATAACTTCGAATCCATATGGGGTGGGGGGAGAGCAATAATAATCAGTGTATAATGCGATTTCATTGGGAGAAAACTACTGAAATACTAAGTTGTCACACCTCATAAAACTAATTTTCTTGATAAGTTTAGAAGAGGTAAAGGCTTAAACGCCAAACAAATCACAATGGGGAAAAAAGGTTATCTTTATCCAACTTGATTTTACAAGCGATGACAACGTAGGAATAGTCAACAGAAGATTGAATGCCTCGCCAGTTTGAACCTATGCTGTAAGTAAGTTGGTTCCTGTTTATCAGACAGCATTCTCTTTGGTGAAATCATAGGTCGACAGATACTCTTCTCGTGTTAACTCTAAGTGTCTGTGGTAGTAGTTACATGGGAAGAACAGAAAGAAGGGCACACCTTCGATTTTCTGAGCATGTATCAAAGAGTCTAAAAGGAACAAACGCCTTCAATAATGCTATTACCAAATATCTCGTTGACACAGGCCATAAGGTGGACACCATGAAATCCTTCTACATTATCAATAAATAAAATAGTTCAATTCTCCTCGAATCGGCTATCAAAAGCCTGAAACCAGATTTATGCGTCCAGAAAGAATCAGGTATCAGTGTCCCCATGTTCTGACAATTCTATGTATTTACTGTCCCTTTTTATGTGACAACATAATCTCTGACTTTAACCTCCTCCTCTTTCGATATAATGTAATTTTGCTTATTTTTTTATTTCTATAATTTGAGTTGAACTCACAACACTGTTATGCAACTTGTCAGTTCTGTCTGTCCGTCTGTTTTCAACAGAGAACTTTGCACTGATGTGCAGCAGTTCAAGTCGCCACACTCCCTCCATGTAGCACACAAAGAAAGAGAAGAAAGTAGGAGAAATGCATATTAGAGACAGTAAACAGAGGTGTGAGACAAAGGAATAGTAATAATGAAGAACAAAACAGTTTCATTGGAAATCATAAGTCACAAGGAGTGGATGCATCTGCGCCAGCCATTGAGAACGATCACTTTGAGCCATGTCACTAACTGTCTCCAACCATTGGTTTTTACCGTCCCGAGGACCCCAACCAGGAAGTCTACACCTTCCTACGTGGCCTAGACTAACTGTTGTAGATTTCATTGACTGGTGCCATGTTTTCGTTTGACCGCCGCTAGCTCTTTCCCAGCCTGATCCTATATCAGCTAACATTGCCCGTGGAGGGAAGAGATGGCTAGGCATACGTAACACATGTCCTAACCATCTCAGTCGATGTAGCTTCACGGCCTCGTCTATTGATTTTCTCTCCTTACCTAGCACTCGACGCCTAACCTCAACAACTTGTCAGTTACTTATCACCTTTATTACAAAACCCTTTTCCCATTGTATTCAAACATTTGTTTCTTGGCTTTGTTTTGTTTAAACTTGAACCTTCTGTGTATAAGTCATATACGCGTAATTTTTGAGCACAGTTTAATAGTTCTGGAGTTTGCTGTTAACTGATATCATGTCTTAGAATTGGTGTTTACTAGATAGTCAGACTGTTGACCAGACCTCGAATGGGAAACAAATTGGGGAACACGGAGGAGAGTGTGCGGGTGATTGTGGATTGCAAAAGACAGGCTGAAATGGTGACGTGCTGGCTAAGCCTTATGTTCCACTAGGAACCCAAAGGGGATAATAATAATAATAAAAACGGTTAACAGCAGTATAATAAGTGACATAATTAATCTTACAGATAATTCGCGCTCTATAGCGGTCGTAAGTTAGCTGCTTCGAATTCACTACCATTCATGTGTCACACAATACATAATTGAGTATATAAAACGCTTACAAGCCTGTTAAATTGTTGCAAATATATAAAATAATAGCTAATCTTTGTTATTCACTCTACAAATTAGTAAAATAAAATATCTACTAACGAAGATTAATATTTACGCATATACATCTGATCAACTTACATTAACCATTGCCAAACTAGCAACTTTGAAAACTGTAGCACGTTCACGAGCCAAATTGAAGCGTTGTAATAATTCAGTAGGATCACGAGCAGATTCTACATCACTGATGGAACGTTGTAATTCTTCACCCTTTCGATTTACAGTATTTTGATGACGTTCAAGATCAGATACATGAGCCTCGAGTTTGATAAGTGCATCATTAATCAGTCGAACGCCGTCTTCATCACTAGTCGACGTTTTATAATCGTCATCATCTTCATAACCATCAGGATAAATATCGGAATCTTCACCTATAAGTGCAAACACACACAAGAAACAGCAAACATGTTACGTGAAGATGAGATAAATATTACCATGTGTACTGGTTTTCTTACTAATTCAATGTACTTATGCTCACTATCTACATTCAAGAGGATTAAACGACACGCTTTATGCTTGATACACTTATTATTGAGAAATAGATTCATTTATATCCATCGACAGAGTAGAATTTATGTAGGTCATTATAGTCTTTGCGTTGGTGGCACAGCGGTTAGCATGCTCGCTGACTATGCACATGGTCCGGGGTCCGATCCCCGGCCACCGACGCACTCCTTTACCTCACTTACCCAGTAATAAGATTGGTAAAGAGGGAAGGTTGGGCACATGAGGCTAGCAACCCCATCCTGTAAAAATAAACACTGCTACAGAAACTTCAAGCCTCCAGCTTGAAGCCCTATGTTCCACTGGGAACGTGAAGGAAATTTAAAAAAAAGTCTTTATAGAAAATATTTAACAAGTTAGATTATTTCAGGAGGTCGACTTTTCTTTCACTAAATACCTAAAATAAGTGACCGGTGCAAAAACAAAAAGTACTGACCTGACTCTTCTATTTACAGAAAAATCAATACTGACATCTATTAAAGTCACACACCAACACACACACTTTCTCTTGCAATAAACAACATCTCCATCACCATCAGCTAGTTAATTAGTCAGACGCACTCATATGACTTGGTGAAATCAATCAAAACGCAATCATCACTAAGCAAAAATATTAACCACAAACAACTGATGAAGAGAATCTATAAGAGCATGAATACATAAGAACATAAACAATCCTATCTAAGTTATGCATTTTTTTAACGAACCGTTAGAACAAACTATAATCATAGGAATGTACAAATCATAAAGTAGATTGGTGTGCAAAAGAGCATTAATGAAAGCCTAAATATCAGCATAGAAGAAGACGAAGAAGAAGGAGAAAGTCGGGAAAATAATTATAGAACTTCTGATAGGACCGTGTAAATTATATTACTTGAAGCGTGAGAGATATTAGAATTTGTAATCCTTTATTCTCTGATTGCTCATAAACAACCTTCAAAATCCAAAAATGTTTTAAACTGACTTTGACCTTTCATCAGTTCATTATGCAGCAATTTTTATTTTAGAAAGAAAAACATTACTTAAGAATTAATATGTACGATGACCCTAGACTGTCGGAATAAATAAATTAGAAAACCTCGAGTAGGTAGACTCTGCAAATAAATCAATATATAAGGCGTATCGCTGATCTTTGTATGTTATCCATCCTAAAGCTGAAAAATTAGGCTCTACAAGTACAGTGATCATTTACACTGCTGAACAATTCCGGTTGATTTTGTTATCAACAAGGAATACATCTTGAATAAAGTAAAAGCGCTTGAGTCGGTGGTTTAAGGATACCTAACCGGTAGTAAATACGATGAGGATGAAAGGTTGGGCATGAAGCTAGCAACAGCATCCAGTAAAAACAACAACACAAATGCGATTGAAACTTTAAAAGATTTGAACTTGAAGCTTGCTTTATGGTCCACTAGGAATGCTAAGGAATGATAATGCTTGTACACAATGACACAATGAACATATAAACACGCAGATGTGTAGAATGATGAAAAGCCTGACGTTAAATGATGACAGAAGAAGCATCTCTTATTGACTAGGACGTAATCTCCACTGTAATGCCTTAAAACGTAACTTGTATTTCATCAGAAAGAAAATTATGTACGCATGATTTTCTAGAAAAGGATAAAAGATAATATTCTAGGAGTTACTCAACCTATTGATTTGAAAACAATTATCTCTCGCGGCTTTTCACTCACAAAGTATGATCAACTTTCAGATGTAAATAATGAAAGCAATGTCGATAACATCTTAATTAAATAGGAGTGAATTTCAATCAGATTACTTATAGTATTTCATTTAGAAACTCTACTCCAATTTCATGCATACCACGACAGAGAAGAATGTCAGCTATCTGGGACATAAAGTTGATAGTGAAAAGACATCACCTAAGTATAAATAATGAATGGAATCAATCAATTAATTAATTAATCAAATCTTTATAAAGTTATAAAATTTTAATAAAATGTTTTACATTGAACTAACTCACAACAAGTACTAAACACTTTGCACAATTTTAACATAGAATTATCGAAGATTCTGTGAGAAAACTGGATGTGTGATTAGTTCTGAACGAGTAAAGTTCATAGCGAAAAAACCAATCGCATATATATATATATATATATATATATATATAGTAAATATTTGTCATGTTGTAAGTGTTAAGATAAGAATGAACTCTGAGCTGAGTTTGTTCGTCATAACAGAATAAGTATAACCACCATCTAATATAAATGGACTTAAAAAATAAACTGTGGGGAATACCAAGATATTTAACTATACGCACGTTGAAAATATTGATTTCAAGTTTCAGTTGAACATGGAAGAATTTAAACTATCCAAAAAAAATTTATAAGTGGGAGTTTGTAAACAAAAAGTTCCTAAAAGTTAAAAAAAAAGTATAAATTCTTGATGATAAGATGCGTAGTACAACGGAATAGTTCAATATGTCTACTCCTAGCTTAGTGATAGGGAGTGAAGTGATAGAACATGTTGACCACTTCACCTATTTGGGAAGTTGTATCAGCACCAAACGGATTGATTGGTGACGAAATCTCAGCACGGATCCAAAAAGCTCGAGCTGCTTTCGCTAACTTACACCATCTCTGGCGTAGGCGTGACATCCGACTATCAACCAAGGGACGTGTGTACTGCTCAGCAGTTCGCTCCGTCCTTCTCTATGGCTCTGAAACATGGCCAACACGAGTTGAAGACATGAAAAGGTTGTCTGTTTTTGATCATAGATGTCTATGATCTCTTTCTCACGTTAGGAGGTATAATAAGGTAAGTAATGTTGACGTTAGGCGTAGAGTGTTGGGCAAAGAGGGAAATTCAATCGAAGAGGCTATAAATTTACATAGATTGAGATGGCCAGGTCACGTGCTGTGCATGCCTAACCATCGCCTCCCCCGACGCGCATTACCAGCTGATATAGGTGCAGGTTGGAAAAGAGTAAGTGGTGGCCAAACAAAAAGATGGCATCAATCAATCCATGAAATCCCTGACACTTAAACTGAGTCAGGTAGGGAGATACAGACTTCCGGATTGGGGCCCTCTGGACTCTAAGAATCAATGGCTGGAGACAATAGGTGACATGACTCAAAATCGTTGTCAATGGCGCAGATCTATTCAGTCTCTGTAATCTTTCATATCCCTTTCTACCATTACTCATTCTTCTGATTCTTTTTCTTCTTCTTACTCATTCTGTTTCACTCTTACACTTGTCAAAACTCTATTGATTCTCTTCACTCATTTTCTTGTCCACCTTTGTGTGCTATTCGGAACGTGGCAACTCGAACTGCTGCACTTCAGTGCCACGTTCTATGTTGAATCCAGACAGACACAATAGTTCAATAAACTTTATTCTACTCTGACGAGCACAAGGACATACACAAAACGACATGGGTTGTACCAAATACGCACACAAAAAATCTGATAGACTTCATTTCAATGTTTTTTGAGAAGGTTCAGATGCACTCTGCTGGAAATAAAATTACGAAGAGGAGTAGACGTGGTCTCAGACCATTATTTAATGACAGGAACCTTCAAGGTCAATTTGAAAGCGTCTAAAGAAGCTAGAGATGGACTCCAATTCAAGTTCGACATCTAAAAACTGGATAAAGCAATTACAAAGGAGACATTCAATGCGGCAGTCAGAGAAAATTCAGAGAATATAAATACCATCACCGAAGGAACCTGAGTAGAAAACCACTGGGACTCTGTGGAAGCGATGTTAAAGGAAACCTGTATAGCAATCTCAAGAAGGAAGAAGTGTAAAGACTAGGAATCGTTGTCTACAGACACACGGAAACTAATAGAGGATATAGGGATCATAAACTAGTGGGAAGATGGACAACGAGAGAAGCTTTTACACTCATCTAGACACCACTATTTCAAGTACAGACGGCACGAATGATGACAAAGTGAGGATCCGAAAGAAAAGATCGACCTTCATTAATCTGAAATCAGTCTGAACTTTCAACACCAGTGTCTAGTCAGTCAGTGAGTCTTAGTGTCACCAAAAGCATTTCAAGCAGGCTTCAGGGTTTTATCAATAGCTTCCTTCGCTCCACCTGATAATGAAATGGCTAGCTAGACAGGATCAGCAAAAGGGAGCTATGGGAACCAACCAACCAACAACTTATTACCCAAAAAATATGCCAAAAAAGATGGAGATGAACTGGACACACACTGAAGAGACCGTCGAGTGACATCATACGCCAGGCCTCGAGAGGAACGTGAATGGCAAACGACGAGCTGGGTATCGGAGTGAGACATTGATGAGACCAACTTTGGGTGCGAAATAAAAGCTTATGAGCAATTGTGGAACTAGAGAACAGAATGAAATGAAGATGTGCTATTGAAGCCCTAGGTTTCACTCAGAACCTAAAAGAATAATGATGATACTTTACAAATTAATGATAAATCATGTATCCAAGATCTTCCTTAGGGCATTTTTTAGTGCATTCATTTAAACTAAAATCTGTAAAAAGATTTCTTTAATTGGTATCATTTTTTATCAAATTACCAAACTTTTTAAAATCGAAACCTTCAGGCGAAATCTGTGACTTTGTGTGTAAAACACTTTCCAACAAGGTTAGTTTTCACAATGATTCACCCAACGCTTTAGATTCGATAATAATTAATCTACAGACACCAGTGTAGAGTATACTCTCCCTTTAGCATACAATCAGATATCTCTTAGACGGGAAAGTTGTTAAACCTAATAAACTGATCACCTAGATCACATAGATGTACTTCAGAAGACTGAGATAAACTTAAATTTCCAACTACTAGTGATGATTATCGTAAATACATAGGTAAGACATGTCTGCATCTATATCAACCTCATTAACAACTTGATTATATT